CGGTCCCGAGGCCGGGCTGCCCCACCGTGTGGCCAGCGCCAGGAGGTGTGCGCGGCCCAGGCCAGCCCAGGGCCGGGGGACACGCAGCTGGCGGGCCCCTGCCGCTAGGGAGAGCCCCCGCTCTTCCACCCCAGTGGCTCTGCTGTGCAGACCATTTACTCGCCTGCCTTCTCTTCCCCTTCCATCCCTCCCTCTAACTGCATGAAATGCTGACTGTGCACCCGGATGGGTGTGGTGGGGACCGAGTATGCTGACTGGAATAATTCTAGAACCAAAATAAAGCTGGGGCAGGAGGGAGGGGGCTTTCGGGGAGCCCTGCTCGCCCCAAATCACCTTTGTCTCCAGAAATCAGGGCCTCGGGCCTCGGTGCGGGTTGCTGTGAGCACACGTTCCCCTGCTGCTGGGCGCCCGGAGGAGCAGGAGGGTTCTGTCTGGCTGGGGAGACCGTCACAAGGACCAGTGCCACGAGGCTGCTGGGGAAGCTCTGAGAAGCGGCCCCAAGCCAGCCTGGTAGGGAGAATGCAGAAGGGAATATCAAGGAAGGCCGCCCAGTGGTGTCGCTGAGCTGTCTTCAGGGCGAGAGGGATAAGGCCAGAAAAGGGGGGTAAGACCAAAACAGCCTTCCTGGTTGTGGGAACAGCATGTAGAAAAGGGCAGGAGTGGACAAAAAGTTGGCCAATGCATCAACTTTGCTAAAGTTGGGGAGGATGCGGAGAAGGGAGCCCGGGGAAAGGCTTGGAGGGGAGGCGGGCCATGTGAGTTCAGTGAGTACTGCTGCCTGGCCTGCAACCCTGCAGACTTAGAGGTAGGTCTGTTGTTGGCTCCTTTTTTGCAGATGTAGAAACTGAAACTCAGAGAGGCTAGGTAACTAGCCCAAGATCACACAGCCAGAGCACCTCAGAGCTGGGATTTGAGCTCAAGCTGTTTGGCTCCTGAGCTCATGACTTAACTACTAGACCACAATGCCGCCTTCCCCAGCTTCTCGACAGTGGGTCCGAGGGGCAGCAGAGAAGCCCCTCTGGATCCCAGGCTGCTCTGGTTTTCCCCTCCCCTCCCCTGGAAGATCACAGCAAGCATGGATGGAGGAGAATCTGGGTAGAAATTCTCAGGAGGCCTGCCCACCACAGGGCCTGAAGGAAGAGCTTCTGTGGAACACCACCCCCACCCCACGCAGAGCCCGGCAGACAGAGGTAACCAATGAGACAGGCCTTACAGGAGCCCAGGAAGGGTGGAAACCAGGGAAGGCTTCCTGGAGGAGATGGAGGCACCAGCCTCGCTGGGTGGCGAGGGCTGTGCAGGTGGAGAAGGGAGAGCAGCCTCAACGCAGGGAAACTGCCTATGCAAAGGTGTCACAGGTGTCTGGGGAGCCACGCAGCCAGCTGGGGCTGAGCTGGGGAAGCTTCATGTCCAGGGTGAGGCCGAAGGTCCTGGTCCTGCTGGCAGTGAGGCCCTGGGCAGGAGAAGTCAGAGGGAGGCAGGGAGGGGGGGCTGCTCTAAGCCGCTTTGAAGTGATGATGAGGGACATCAGCGAGTGCTGCTCTTGGTCAGTGAGGAGCATCCCGGCCGCCTTTAGCAGGGCCCAATCCACCGTACTCCCATCTCTTCCTGCCTCTTCCTCCCCTGCCACCCCACTCTTCTCCCCGCTCCTCCAGCCCCAGGCCCGTGGGCCTGCTTCAAGGGTCCCAAGCCCCCTCTGTCTGGGAGCCCTCAGGAATAGCCGAGTCCCACCCAAGGGGACAGGTATGGAGGTCCCTGTCCTGACAGTGGCAGTGGCGGTCCACGCCTGCGTGTGGGAGGAGCAGGGTGAGCCACAGCAGCTCGAAGCTTCACTTCCTCCCTCCTGCCTTGTCTATGCCTGCAGACACCTGAAGGGACAGACCAAACAACTAAAGGAACACTCAGACTGGGCCACGGGGCTCCCTCACTCTCCACCCCCTCCCACCCCGTCATCAACCTTCCCATCCCACCCAGAAGGGTCAATAATGGCGAGGCAGGGACAGGTGGCCTGCGGCCCCAGCCCTGAGCTCCAGTTAAATGGCAGACAGAGTTGGGTTGGTCTGGAGAGGCCAGACGGAAGGGAACTTGGGAGAAGAAGCCCTTCTGTGTTCCACCTGCCATAGGCTGGGTCTGCTGCTTACTTGCTGTGTGACAATTCCTTCCCTTCAAGAGCCTGTTTCCCCATCTGGAGAATGAGCGTATTAGTCAAGAAGGCCTCTAAAAGCACCCACATCCCCACTTATCAGCCGTGGGATCTTGGGCAAATTATCTAGCCCCTTTGTGCCTCAGTTTCCTCATTTGTCAGAGGAGGATAAGAATTATACATACTTCACAGGATGGAATTAAATGCCACATGCCAACTGACTGGCACACAGTGGGTGCTCAGTAAACGTGAGGTCAAGGCTTTGGGTGGAGGAGTTCTGGAGCTCTGGGATCTGGTGTTTGGGATGAAAGGGAGGGGAGGGGACATCGGGAGGGGACATCCCAGGAGGCATCGGGAGCAAAGAGTCTGTGTCCCCTTCCAAGGCATCCCAAGGGGCATGACTGGGCCTATGAAGTTCCACCCCCTCTGGCACCAACTCCAGGGTGCCTCCATGTCCCTCCACTCCTTCAACCATCCATAAACACTCCACACCCCAAGACAGGAACCCGAAGCAGAGCCGGCAGCCCCGGGTGATGACGGTGCAGGGAGCAGAGCGGCCACACGGGGGCAGCAGAGACCCGGCCCCGACAGCAGGGGATTCCGGCCTCAGGGAGAATGGGGGTGGGAGGTCAGAAAATGGGGCAGAGGGGCCAAGGCCAGGGGGGCCTTGGAGCAGATGGAGGCCGGAGGGTGGTCACCTGTCTACTGACCCGACACTCAGGTCATTAGCTGAATTCACTCATCCATGCAACTGTTGTTCCTTTGTTTCTTCAGTTTGTAAATGCTTTTGAGGCAGCCCATCTTCCTTCCTTTCTCTTTCCCTTGCTCCTTCATTTTCCTTCCTTTTCCTTGTCCAGCCAGTGAACTGGACATAACATCCTGAGCCACAGCTGGATGCCAGCCTGGGGCAGGCACTCCTGTCTGGGATACAGAGATGGGTGGGACTCGGCCCCTGCCCTGGAGGTGCTCAAGGCTTGGCTGGGGACTGGAAGATCCTGCCTGGCCACCTGCATCTGAAGGAGGGGATTCCACCTCAGGCCGAGGGCCTGGGGTCTGCAGGGCAGTGACCCGCTGAGCAGGGTGCTGAAGGACTCTGGACCTGGGACTGGTGGGGCCTCAAGGGGATGAGTCACCCGCAAGCTGGTAGTGACCAGCAGCCACAGAAAACAGTAAGACAGTTAACAGTACCCTGACCAGGCAGACTGTGACTTGGGCCGCCTCCCCACTCCAAAATAAACTCCAGGAAAACGGTGCCGTCCAGGGCCTGGCAATGTCTGAGATTTGGAGAAATTCCCTGCCAACCAAGGCAGATCTCCCCAGCCCAGTGACTAATCTCCCTCTCACAGAATCAGGAACACAGAGCGGGAGTGAGGCTGGGTTTACCATCCGGAGACCTGGGTTGAAATCCTGGCTCTGGGTCGTGCTAGCCTGCCACAAGCCAATGCCTTTCTCTGAGCCTCAGCTCCCGATCACCCACTCTGCCCAGCTCACAGTCTGAGCACTAAATGAAATAATGCATGTGAGGTGTGATGTTGGGAGACAGCCCAGCTTTGTCGCCAGACCTGGGTTCAAACTCAGAGCTCTGCCTCTTGCTAGCTGTGGATCTTAGACAAGAGCTTAAACCTCCCTGGGCCTCAAGTGTCCCATCTGTAAACCAGGGCTAACACTTCCCACCTGCTAGGGGACAGTGCCTCCACTCGGTTGGCAATCCATTAATGGGCGCTGTTACTATTAGGAAATGTTCAGTGAAACTCTAAAGCATGACGCATATCAGGAGTGTCATTAGAGTGATTATTCCCATAGCAACCAAGGCCAAAAGCCTCTGTCTGACTCTCAGCTCCCTCCACCCCTGGTCTGACCCCACCTGCCTCCCAGCCTTGCCACCCAAAGCCTGATGACAGCAGTAGTGGAGAGACTAGGGGATGACGAGGCTGACAGCTGATCGCTGGGGGATGGGGTCCCTCCCCACCACTCCTTGGGGCGGGGAGTCCTGATCAGTGGCTACACACCCAGCCTGGTGCCAGGTCACTGCCCAGCCCTTTGGTGGTTTTGGGGAGGAAGGGGCCTAAAGGTCGGGGATGTCCTGGGGCACTCCCTCCATCCAGGTGAGGCTTCATTCAGCCTGCTGACTGTGGCCCTGGGTGAGCCTGGAATGGGAGTCAGGGGTCTGGGCTCTGCCTCTGTGCAGTAGGGGCCGTGACTCTTGCCCTGGCTGCCTCTTTGGGCCACAGTGAGGTTTAAAGGGGGCTGAGGGTGGTTTTTCACCTGCCTGGCTTGGAACTCCATGAGGAATGATGTCATGACCTGTGTGGGGAAGGGTGTGAAACTCCAAAACTTCTGCCCTCTGTTTGTCTGAGCTTCAGTGAAAACAGTCCAAGATCTGGGGGCCCTTGTGCCCATTTTTTAAATACATGTTTTGACTCTGTCTACTAACAGGGGTGGGAGGTCAGGTGACAGTGAGTTTCCGGTTCAATTCTGTCTTTATTCCTGGTGTCCAAAGTGCTTCACTCTCCAGGCCCTAATTAACCCTCAGCCTCACCCCCTGCACCAACTCCCCAAACCAACCTCACCATCATCACAGGGAAGAACCACACCACGCCCCCCAACCCCCGGCAAAGGATCCCCCCCCCCCCCCTTCCCCCCTACCTTGCACGTGCTGTTGCCTCCGTTTAGAACACTTTATCCTTCCACTGTCTGTGTCTCACTTTTTCCTGCAGACACTGGCCCCTTTTCTCAGAAGGGTTTCCTGACCACCCCCAACCCCGGTGAGGAGCCCCTCTTCCCGACTCCCGTCCGCTGCCTGTCCCCCCCAACTGTTGTAGCTCTTATCACAGTGATGTCCTGCCTGTCTCCCATTCTAGGCCGTGGGAGACTTTGACTTCAACGGTTCAGGGTCCCCAGGTCCGTGGGCACAGGGAGCCATCAGTGTTGGTTAAATTATAAGAATCACTCACACATGGCATCACCAACCACGTACCAGACCCTACTCTAAGCGCTTGACAGATGGAAGGTTCCATCGCTTTCTCCAGACCATGACCGAGGCAGAGGTGAGACGCGCCTGTAGTGAGACTTCCTGGTGCTGGCTGGGGGAGGGTAGGCCCAGCTGGCAGTGCCAGTGACTAACGCATAAAGGCCTGCCAGATCACCCCCTTCCCACCTGCCCTGAAACACCTGTAGGGAGGCCGTGGTGTGGAGGGCTTCTCCAGAGCCCTGGGGAAATGCACATTCATTCATTCACTCATTCATTCATCCATCAAAAGTCACCAGCTCCTGCTGGGTGCCCCGCCTAGGCTGGGCACCAGGTACCCACCCAGTCCCTGTCCCCAGAAAGCTAGTGGGCCAGCAGGGCTGACCCCCACCTCCCTTCTCCAGGGGAAGGGGGCCAGGACGCTCCTCTTTCCCTGTCCACACCATCACTGCCCAGCTACGTGTCTGCTCCCCATCAGACCAGGGTGCGCTCCTGAGGACGGAGGCCGAGTCTCGGTGCCCACTCCTGTGACCTAGCGCCCCACACAGAGGTGTGTCTTCCTCGGGCCGCCTGGGACTTGGGACCTGGGACGCGAGGGGCAGGGCCGAGCCGGCGCCAGGCCACGGAATCCGCCCGGCCCCTCACCTGAGCCGCCAGCCGCCGCCCGCACTTCCTCGACCCGCCCCGACCCGCCCCTTCCACATTCCTGCCCCGCCGGCCCCGAGGCCGCCGCTCCGCTGCGCCTGGCCCTTCCTCCGCTGCCCCGCGATGAAGGCGGCCCAGGCCTCAGGCGAGGAGGCGCCGCCCGGCGCGCGGTCCGTCAAGGTGGTCCTGGTGGGCGACGGCGGCTGCGGGAAGACGTCGCTGCTGATGGTCTTCGCTGAGGGCGCCTTCCCCGAGGTGAGTGCCGGCCCCTCGGGCTCAACGGGGCGCCGCGGCCTGGGTGCATCCTTCCCCACCCCGGGAGGGAAGTGCGCCCGTTCTGCCTCCCCGCAGAGCGTGGGGTCGAAGGCAGTTCTCACTTTGCCCGCGGGAGTGACATCGGCCGTCAAGTGCCAAGAATGCCACCTACCCGGGGGAGGTGTCCCGGGGACTGACTTAGGCAGCCTGGGGAACATAGCGGGTCCTAAGAGAGCACTTGGTGGCACAGCATGGCTAAGTGGGACAGACAGCCTTGGCTTCGAATCACGGCTTTGCGACTTACAGCTGTGCGCTCTGGGGCAAGCCGCTTACCCTCTCTGTGCCTGTTTCCTTAACTGCTTAATAGGAATAACCGTGGTGCCCACCTCCCAGGGTCGCAGTGATGAGAGAGTTCATACAGGTCAGGGGCTCAGCTCTGAGCTGCAACAGGAAGGACTCACTGAAAAGTGGCCAGCGTTTTTCTTGGGAGACATCGTGTCTTCCCCCAGCTCTTGCCCCTACAGTGGATGTCCCGTGGGCTCAGCCTTGGAGAGTAAGAGCACACCAGCCGCTCAGACAGCTGGGTTAGCACCTCAGTCTCCTCCAACAAACTTTGGGGCCCTCAGTACTTTGCTCAGCCTCTGTGAGCCTCCGACCCCTCACTCGACCTCGCTGGGTGGAGAGATCCGAGAGTGGTGGTGAGGTGGAAGATAAGGCTGAGAGATGGCCCCGAGTACCTGGCATGTCCTTGACGCCTGAGCATGTGGACTGTCACTCCTTCACCGACATGCCTACTGCCTGTCCAAGCGGACTCACCGGTACCAGGACGGGCTGGACACACCCACCCACCGTGCCCCGCTCAGCCCAGTTCCCCTGGGAGTCCACGCGTGGGTCTGCTTCCAACATCACGTCCCCCTGCCTGCTGATTCCAGCCCCCGCCAAAGCCCTGGGGTAGTACAGCACTGGGGGGTTGGATGCGGGAGGCAGGAGCAGCTGGGCCTGCTAACTCAGAGTCAGCCTTTCTTTCCACTATGGCAGCATCGAGCCGACTTTTGCTTTGTCGTTTTTGGAGCTGATGTCACATCCTTTGGCCAGTCACATTTTTCTTAGCCGGGGGGAGGGATGTGTTTCCAGGCCCCCAGATGCTGCCTGTTAGAACCCAACAATGATGGCAGTGTGGGGGGCACCACAGAGTGCCACAGAGAGGCTAGGCCAGCCGGGGCCCAGAAGCAGTGCTGGGAGGGGTGGTCGCTCACCACCACTGCCCTGGGCTCTGAGATGGCCTTGAGAGTGAGACCCATCCCAATTGCAGAGAGGTTACAGTGCGGAAATGGGCATCTCACAGTTGATGGACAGTGTGTGTTTTTCACAATTTTTTAAAAAATTAATTAATTAATTAATTTTTTTTTTTGGCTGCGTTGGGTCTTTGCTGCTGCACGCAGGCTTTCTCTAGTTGCAGCGAGTGGGGGCTACTCTTCGTTGTGGTGCGCGGGCTTCTCCTGGCGGTGGCTTCTCTTGTTGCGGAGCACGGGCTCTAGGCGCACGGGCTTCAGTAGTTGTGGCTCGCGGGCTCTAGAGCGCAGGCTCGGTAGTTGTGGCGCACGGGCTTAGTTGCTCCGCGGCATGTGGGATTTTCCTGGACCAGGGCTCGAAACTGTGTCCCCTGCATTGGCAGGCGGATTCTTAACCACTCCACCACCAGGGAAGTCCAGACAGTGCATGGTGAAGGACACTCTGAAGGGAAAGGGAGAAGAACATGCCTGTCACCAGAGGGCTGGACCTGCCTTGTCTAGGTTCCTCTCCTGTTTGGGGACCCTGATTTCCTGGGACCTGTCTGCCTCCAGGCACAAGAGACACCTCTCCATTTATTTATTTATTTATTTATTTATCTGGGCACGCCCCGGCACAGAAAGCACAGGGTCCTAACCACTGGACCGCCAGGGAATTCCCAAGAGACCTCTTCATTTAAAAGAAACACAAGGTTTGAGAGCTGGCAAGGCCTTCATTTTACAGATGGGAAAACTGAGGCCAGAGAGAAGAGTCTTGCCTCAGGGCACAGGGCCCCACAGTGTCCCCCCGTCTGTGGTCCCCCCTCCCAGCCCTGAGCAAGGGAGCAAGGCCTGGGCACCCAAGATGCAGGCGGTCCAGCACGCCCCTTGGTGCAAAGGGCTTGTGTCGTGGCAGGGTTTTGAAAACCTTCTCCCCTGTTGCTCAGGCCCCATCTGTAAAAGCTCCCCCTCTTTATTCCTGCACTTGTGTAAAAGCCCATCCTGCTTCCATTCATCCAGTCTTTGTGGAGACAGGGTGAGCTCAGGCTCAGCAGGCCTGGGGTGGAGGGGCCTCTGGCCTGGGTGACCTCCCCCTGGGGCCAGGCAGGGCAGGTAAGAGAGACAGAAACAGGGGCATCCTGGTTGGATTGTGAAAGGTTGAGAGGCAAAGGAGGGGCCCCCAAAAGCTAGGAGCTCCCCAGGGCAGGCAATGAGTCTTTATTAGTTGCTCCCGGGTGTCCAGAATCGGATCCAGAGAGGGTGCTCATGAATGAATGAATGAATGAATGAGTAAGTGAGTGAATGAAAAAACATAGGTTAGTGTCATTGCAGGAGGAGGGGACGGCAGGAAGGAAGGCTCAGAAATGGGACAGTCTGGACGAGGACAGAGATAAAAATAACAGTCCCGGCATGTGTAGAGTGCTTATTTTCTACCAGGCCCTGTGCTCAGAGCTCCACGTGAAGCGCCTCCTTGAATCCTTTCAGCAACGTGCTGCGCTGGGGGCTTTAATAGACCCACTTTTTAGGCGCAGAGGAGGCCAGGGAGGCTCAGTGCCTTGGGAGGGTGCACAGCTACAGAGTGGCAGCTCTAGGCCTCCACCCACCAGCCGACTCTCCCCCAGAAACTACTCCACTCTGCTCCAAGCTACTCCAAAGAGCGGCAGTGCCGCGGGCACTCCTGGACTCTGGCCTGGGCACTGTGACCACCGGCTTCAGATGCCGCCTTCTCAGCTGCCCCCTTGACCCCTTCTTCCTCAGAGCTACACCCCCACGGCATTCGAGCAGCTCACCGTGAATCTGCACGTGAGGGGCAAACCCGTGCACCTCCACATCTGGGACACAGCAGGTGGGTGCCAGGCTGGGGGAGGGACAGAGTGGGAGGAACACAGCAGGTGGGTGCCAGGCTGGGGTGGGGGGCAGAGTGGGAGGAAGGGACCCACTCCCTTCCTTCTGAACCGGGGAGGCCAACCAGTCTCCAGGGGACAGGTGTTGGCCAGGATTAGGGCCCCCGGGAGCCTGAACCCTCCACGCTTCGGCATCTGTGTCTGCTGCTTCCCCAGCCCAGAGCAGCCCACCATGTCCTGGAGGTGAGTCGGAGCTCTTAGCTCTGAAGGGGTGGACTGTTCCTGGCCTCCTGAGCGGTCCACCCTGGCTTTAGCTTCTGTAAGGTCTGTTTGAACGTGACCTCTGCCCTCTAGCCTCCTGACCTAGCCCACAAGAGGGTTCAGAGTCAAATCTACATCAGAACTCAAAGCTAAACTCCGGGAATCCCAGAAGCCCCCTTACCTTGGTTGGGCTGTGATATCTCTGCCCAGGTCCCGCCTGCCTCTTTCTCCTCATGCCCCATCCCCGCCCCAAGTCCAGGGCAAAGCAGGCTTCTGAGTGATGGCCTCAGACATCCCCCACTCCTTCCAGAACAGGGCTCTCTCAGCAGTGGTCTCGCCCAGGCCAGGGCTGGTACGTCCCACAGGCCAGCCAGGGGAACACAGCCCCGAGGGGGACGTTCACGTGTTGGATCCTGAGGCACAGGTCTAGGCCCTGATCCAGACCATCCCCATCCACACCCGCCCCTGGTCTTGGTTGGGGTGACCTCCCTGATGCTGGGGAGGTGCTGACAATGGGCAGGAAATCTGGAGGGAGTGACCACCCCTATTCTACCCAGGGCAAGTCGGCTACGACCGCCTGCGGCCCCTGTTCTACCCTGACGCCAGCGTCCTGCTCCTCTGCTTTGACGTCACCAGCCCACACAGCTTTGACAACATCTCTAACCGGGTGGGTACAGCGGGTGGGGGGGCAGACAGGCACAGCCCCATAGCCGGGCCACTCTGCTCCACCCCTACCCTTGACCCAGCAGACTGTCAGAGCTCGGCAGGCCCTGGATGGCATCGGGTCCAGTGCCTTTGGCATAAATATGGGGAAACTGAGGCCTGGAGAGACTTAGTCAGGGTCCCCCAGGGATTTGGTGGCAGGGTCTGGACTGGCCCTCTGACTCCCGGTCCAGTGCTCCTTGTCTGGCCCATACTGCAGACTCAGAACGCTGTGGCTCTTTCTACCGTGACCCTGCCTGAAGATGCTGGGCGACCCAGAGGCCCCCGCATCTCCCCAGCCTGGGCCTGCCCAAGGTCACACGAGCCATCAGTTTCCAGCAGCCCTCAGCCTCCATCATTGTGACTGCTGGCTCCCAGCGGCCTCCCAGGATGTCCCCCAGTTATCTCAGAGGTTCCCGAGGCTGCACACAGGTGTCAGGGAAACGGTCCCTTGAGTTCCTCTGCTCCTACCCAGCAGCCACAGCCCCGCCCCCACTGCTGCCAGGGCCTCCATGCGCGCGTGAACGGCGTGCTCCAGGGTTCCTCAGAACACAGCCAGTGACAGCATTAGTAACCATAACCACAACGATGATGGCAGCATTTATCGAGAACTTACTGTGTGCCAGGTACTGTTGTAGGCACCAAGGACCAGGCAAGTGGTGGGTTGGGACCGGGGTGCCAGCAGAGGCGGTGGTGAGAGGCCAGCGGATCTGTTCGGAAGGCAGAACCGAACCGTCAGCGTTTGCAGATGGATTGGACATGGGTGGGAGAGAGACATTTGATCAGAGCACCTGGAAGGTGGACTTGCCATTTCCCAAGATGAGAAGGAGCAAGCTTGGGGCAGGGGGAGGTGGGTGATGGAGGCCCATTGGGCATCCCAGTGGAGGGTCAGGCAGGCAGGCAGAAGTCTGAGGCTGCAGTTCCTGGGAGGGGGCAGGGCTGGGCAGATCCATTTAGGAGTTGCTGGTGGGGAAGAGCTGTGGACTGGGCGTGGGGGAGAGGGGGGCTGTCACCTGGAGACCTGGGGTCAACCAGGAGAGCGCGGCCCTGGGGTGAAGCGCAGACCAGGTTTCAGAAGAGGGAGTGATCGCTGATGTCAGGGCTCAGGTAGGATGAGGTCTGAGGATTCCCTGTTGCGTTTAGCAAAGTGGAGTCGGGGAGGAGACCCTTTTCAAGGGCAGTTCTGTGGAGGGGAGGACTTGCTGGGACCGCACACCGGCCCCATCTGGCTCCAGAAGCCAGACGGTTTGATGTCAATTTTTCCTGAAACTGAGCAGGCGTGCGCTGCTGGAGATCTAAAGCCTGGATTCCAGGCTCCCAGGTTATAGTCCAGACTGAAATAACCAGGCCCTGGAGGCTCACATTCCAAAGAGCGGCTGACACGGGACAGGAGTGCCCCCTCCAACAGGCAAACAGCTGCCGCAACCATGTTGTGAGCTGCTTTAATTTTAAAGCCTCACTGATTTCTTTATATATTTTACCCTGTTGGGGAGACGGTCATGGGACCCCTTACCTTGCAGAGGTAGGATTCTAGCGCAGGTGGGAACCGGGCTCTGGGTGCCACCCCCTGGGTTCAAATTCTGCCACTTCCAGTTGTGTGACCAAGGGCAAGTTATATAACGTCCCTGAGCCTCAGTTAGTGCATCGGTGCAATGGGATTGATGATAGAACTTGCTTCATAGGGACTTGGGGGGTTAATGTGTTCATTACATGTAAAGTCTTAGCCTGGCACGGAGTAGTTCTCCCTAAACTGGCTTTGTTGATTATTGTTGTGGGAGTCTACCTGGAGGGCAGGAGAGCGGCCCACTCCCTTGATGGCTCACACACACACCCCCTCCCCACCTCCCTCCCCACCTCCCTCCCCACAGTGGTACCCGGAGGTGAATCACTTCTGCAAGGAGGTGCCCATCATCGTCGTGGGCTGCAAGACTGACCTGCGCAAGGACAAGTTGCTGGTGAAGAAGCTGCGGAAAAATAGGTTGGAACCTGTGACCTACCACAGGGTAGGAAACCCAGCCCAGGGCACGGGGGTAGGGGTGCCAGGAGAGGAAACCCCTGGGGTAATGCTGTTCCGGCCCAGCCTCTCAGCAGCACCAGACATCTGGCACCCGCAGGGTGTGGGTCAGGGTAGGGGTTGGTTTGGAGGCAGTCATGGTCACGAACTGCCGGGCTTGGAAGTTTCCAGCTGTGGGATGGAGAGTGAGTGAGTGTGGTGCACTTCAGATCCTGCCTACCCGCTTCACAGCCGGGGGGGACCCCCAGGCCTCCAGTCCACAGGCCCCTCTCTGCAGCATGCCTGGGTCAGGCCGGGAAGTTAATTAGTTGATGCCTCGAGAGGCAGAGACCCAGCCGGGAACTGAGGCAGGAAACCCGATGAAGCCATCGATGGGCTTGGTCAGGCCAGGGGACAGGAGCTGTGGGTGTCCTAGGAAGACGCACCTAGGATGGCCAAGGGGGCTGGGGGTTGGCTGGACGTGAGGCCCCAGCGGCACCCACCTGACGGCGGCCCCGTCCGCTCTCCCTGTTAGGGCCAGGAGATGGCACGGGCCGTGGGCGCCGTGGCCTACCTCGAGTGCTCGGCTCTGCTCCAGGAGAACGTCCACACCATCTTCCAGGAGGCGGCCAAGGTGGCCCTCAGCAGCCACCGTCGCAACTTCTGGAGGCGGATTACCCAGAGCTGTTGTGTGGTGACTTGATGGGCTGAGGCGCTCCTTCCCTGACCACACCAGCGGCACAGGAAGGAGCTGGGCGCTGACCTGGCCAATTGGCTGGGCTGGACCCAGTCCCCAGGCTGTGACCACCGAACCGTACCCCAAACAGATGGGCACCACCGAGGCCGGGCCCCTGACTCTGGCACTGGTATCCCTGGACTGGAGAGAAACCCCTCTGAGGCCTGAGGAAGGGGGTTCCCGGGCTCACCAGCCCTGTGGAGGGCTAGGCCTGGAGACCCCTGGAATCACTCCCAGCTCCCAGCCCTGGACTACACATCCTGGAGCGGCCTGTGCAGCCTGGCGCCACCTCGTGGGTGTTCCCGGGCCTGCACCTTCAGGACCCGGTGGTGCTAGGACCCTCCAGACAGAACTCACACCCTGCCCCGTCCCCCTTCGCCCTGCCCATCCCAGTGGTAACTGTAACACTAAAATGACATCACTTTTCAGTTGCGTCATGCCTCTTGTTTCGAAATGCCTTTACACACACGTTCCATGGTGGATAAGAGCACACCCCACGTAGGCACTGGACCCAGTGTAACTACCTTGGATCCAAATCCGGCTTTATCACTTTAGAACCCTGGGCAAGTTACTGGAATTCTCTGGGCCTCTCGTCTGTGAAATGGGACCAATCACAGATGACCTCATGGAGCTTTGGGATGAGGAAGAGCATCATGAGACACCTGCGAAGAACATAGCAGGTGCCTGGCACACAGTAAGTGCTCACAAAAGATTCACAGGTGTCACTTTTATTTATGATAAATACAATAGACAATATTCTATAGATGTATGTAATATGATTGATAAAATGGATAGTCAGGGTTCTGCAGGAAAATAGAGCCAATAGGCTCTATGTATACAGAGAGAGATTTCAAGGAATCGGTCCCCGCGATTGTGGAGGCTGGCAAGTCTGAAACCTGTAGGGCAGGCTGGAGGTCGATGTTGCAGTCTTTTTTAAAAAAAAATATTTATTTACTTAGGCTGTGCCGGGTCTTAGTTGCGGCATGTGGGATCTTCGTTGCAGGATGTGGACTTCTTAGTAGCGGCATGCGTGCGGGATCCAGTTTCCCGACCAGGGATCGAACCCGGGCCCCCTGCATTAGGAGCGCAGAGTCTTAGCCACTGGACCACCAGGGAAGTCCCAATGTTGTAGTCTTGAGTCTGAATTCTGCAGGGCAGCAGGCTGGAAATTCAGACAGGGATTCCGTATTACTGACTTGAAGCAGAATTCCTTCTTCCTTGGGAAAACTCAGTCTTCTTTTAAGGCCTTCAACTGATTGGATGAGGTCCACCCACACAGAACCAGCCACTAACACCCACCCCCTCAGTTTCATTAGGAAACAGCTCCAGGGGTGGGACCACTTCCTCCAGGTGAGGGCTCATGGCTCAGGTTACAGAGCTGAGCTGAGGCAGAGGAAGTGATGTTAGGGATCTGCTCAGAAAACCCCACCTGGATTACAGGCTCCACTCCAGTGTTTTAATATAAGCTGCTCAGGGGTGGGAAACAACTTTTCCTGGCCTAGATTTCTAGCCTGGTTGCTCCTTCCCCAAGCACACCCCATGCCCAGAATGTTCTTCCCTCTTCTCCCCCTGCCTGCCCTCCCCAGCCCAGTGAGCTAAGCCCAGTTCACACATCTCCTCTAATTTCCCCAAATGTGAGTCCCTGGAACCCTTGATAGTTATCTGGCTATAGGAAGCTTTTCACACTGACTTCTTGCACCAGACCTGGGCTTCCCTTGAAGTCAGGCTCTTTGTCTCCCTCATCTCTTTGTTCCCAGACCCTAGTTGGGGATGTGGCTTGGCCTCTTGGCATTGCAGAGAGGCAGAGTGTTCCGTCTCTCGAGTCAGTAGCAGATCTGGGTTCGAATCCTAGTCCTGCCACTTTCCAGAGCCATGTGACTTTATGAGAGCCACACTCTTTGAGCCTCAACATGCTATCTGGCAAATGTAGGTAATCATGCCCGTCCTAGAGTGTTGCTGTGAGGGTAAAGTGACAAACTGCTTGTCAGGTGCCTAGCACAGTGCCAGGAATAAAGGAGGTGTGCAGGAAACACGGGCTGGATTGCATGGAGTAGAGCTGTACTGGACAGTGTATCCTATACGGGAGGGCAAGGTACTGAACCAGATGTCAGGAGACCTGAGCGCTGGCTCAGACTCCTTCCCTGAGACAACCAGGGACTCCATCATCCGTGCCTTCAACAGCCTGGTGTCCAAGGAGCTCCCTGATGTGCCCAAAACACCATGACAAGAACTAGGGGTATTATACAGGGAACCCACAGTTTGTGCCCTCAAAGCCAGATCTGTTTGCAATGCCACAGAGGAGGGGTCCTAACCCCAGCATGCAGGGGTGGTTGGGAAGCTACCAGGAGAGAAAAGGCACTTCCCTGAAAAGAGAGACAGCCCGGTGAGCCTGGGGGGTAATGAGTGCCACTGAGAGTCTCGTCGAATGTTGTGTGAGGTTTTGCCAGGCAGACGAGACAAGAGGCTCAGGCCAAGGAGGGCTGAGAGTATTAACTAGAAGGTGATGGAGTGGTGGGCTTGGTTCTGGAGAGTGTCAGTCTACTCACCTGATAAACAGGAGGAATAAATTCTGCCTTGTTGCCTCTTATCTCTCAGCAGGGTTAAGAATATCAAGAATGAGATGATTAGATAGATAAATAAATAGGTGTGATGGCCAGATTTAAATGTTGGGACTTCCCAGGAATTCCCTGGTGGTCCAGTGGTTAGGACTCGGTGCTTTCACTGCCTTGGCCCCAGGTTTGCTGGTCAGGGAACTAAGATCCCACAAGCCGTGCAGCGCAGCCAAAAAAAAAAAAAAAAAAATTTAAATGTCAACTTGATGAGGCTACAGTGCCCAGTTGTTTGGTCAACTGCCAGTTGAGATGTTGTGAAGGTATTTTTTTGATATGATTACCATTTTAAAAAGATATTTATTTATTTGGCTGCACCGGGTCTTAGTTGCAGCTTGCCAGCTCCTTAGTTGCGGCATGTGGGCTCCTTAGTTGTGGCATGTGAACTCTTAGTTGCAGCATGCATGTGGGATCTAGTTCCCTGACCACGGATTGAACCTGGGCCCCCTGCATTGGGAGCGCAGAGTCTTATCCACTGCGCCACCCGGGAAGTCCCGATTACTTTTATTTTTATTTAGTTAAAATAAAATAAATATGGCTGCGTTGGGTCTTCGTTGCTGTGCGTGGGCTTTCTCTAGTTGCTGGGAGCGGGAGCTACTCTTCTTTGCAGTACGTGGGCTTCTCCTTGCGGTGGCTCTCCCGCTGCAGAGCAGGGGCTCCAGGTGTGCAGGCCTCAGCAGTTGTGGCACACAGGCCGAGTTGCTCCGCAGCATGTGGGATCCTTCTGGACCAGGGATCAAACATGTGTCCCCTGCATTGGCAGGCGGACTCCTAACCACTGCGCCACCAGGGAAGCCCCCGATTACTTTTAAATTTGTAGCCTTTGAGTAAAGCAGATTACTTTGTATAATGTGTGTGGGCCTCATCCAATGAGGTGAATGCCTTCAAGCACTGCACTGAGGTTTCCGGAAGAAGAGGGTCACGTGGCCAGAAGTAGGACTGAAGTTCAACTCTGGCCATGGCTGTACTTCACCCAGGACACGGTTTGGGAGGTCAAGGTCTGGGAACAACTGCTGTCTGTGAGCAGCGGGGAAGCAGGATGGGGGTCAAGGAGGTGGAAGGATCCACAGGTGTGAGAGGTGGAGAAGGGGGGCTTCTGGGGCCACTGCACAGAGGGGGAAGTGGGCAGGGGCCTGCTCTGATGGGGGCCGCTGGAGAGGAGAGTGCCTGCAGGGGAGCAGTTGAGGCAGGAACTCACATCTTTACTTTCTCTCCAGCCACACCTCCCCCCGCCCCCCACCCTTGGCTGCTCTCTTTTACGTTCTCGGAGAGCTCATCAACTTTTGATGTGATCCTGTCTCCCATTGAATTGCCAACTCCTTGAGAGCACGGACTGCGTTTGTTGGAATCCCCTGTGCCTCAAACAGTGCCTCGCATGGAAGAAGCACTAAAGAAATACGTGATGAACAAATGGACGAGTGCCGCGAGGCAATGCCCCACTTCAGGCTGTCAGCCGCGCCTGCCTGGACCACCTCAAAGGTCTCCCAGCCTCCAGGCTCTTGGCCTCCTTCATCCTCACCATCAGCAATCTTCCAAAGCACAGATCCAGTCACGTCACCTTGAGCCTTCTGCAGCCCCCCTGTCCAGAGGAGGTCTAACTTCGCCAGGTGGAGACCTGGGAGGTCTCTCACATCTGGCTGAAGCCCACCTTCCTCACCTTACGCCTAGGACACCTGCCACTCCAGCCACACCCAGGGTAGCTGGACCAGCCTCCAAGTCTCTGCTCTGGCTGTTTCCCCACCTCGGCCTGCCCTTCCTCCCAGTCACTGCTTGTTCAAACCCCCCTCCACCCCCAGATCCTTCGGTGCCCAGCTCAGACACCACCTTGTCCAGGAAGCCTGTGGCTCTGCTGGCTTCCTCACTCCTGCATCACCACACACACATGAACCCACCTGCACACCAGAGCGTTTACTGTCTTTGCATGGGGCCCTTGGCTAAGGAACTGGGCCTTTGTTCCCGTGCTGTGGGAAAGGCCAGTTTGGATTCCTTAAGATGACACATCTGGTGACAAGACCAGGCAGGGTGGCCAGGAGGGCAGCTGCAGACACCCAGACATGAGAAACAGGCCACCACAAGTCAAGGCCGGGTGACTTCTGGGCTGGGAAGCGGTGGCTGCAGAGAGGGTGGACTGCGTGTGGGAAGGGTGGGGACACTGAGAGTGAGGGAAGAGTGCAGGCCTCACCCCTGCGTGCGTGAGAAGGCGAGCCCCTTCCTGAGACACCTGCTCTGGGAGAGGTGGGAACCACTCGGTGGCTGGTTTCCAGCTTCAGGCCCCCAGCCATCCCGGCCACCGCACAGCTGTCCCAGGTGTCACGGGAGGGCAGGGTGAGTGGCAGCACTTGGAGATGCCCAGCTGAGGAGCCGCTTTCAGTTCCTCACAACCGGCCTGGCAGGGCGGCGTGGCCAGACGAGTGGGAGCCTGGGGAAGGTGCAGCCCGGAGGCCAGCTGGGGCCAAGAGCCACAAACCAGTGTCTTCATTTCTTCACACCGCCTCCGCCCAGCCTTGAGGGTGTCTGCCAGGAAGGCAAGGGGTAGGGGAGGGGACCCCAAGTCATCTTCCCCAGGACGGGCCACTCCCTGGCATCCTTGCGCAGGGAGGGTGGGGCACACTATCTGTGAGTCACGAAGCTTTCCTCTCCCCTCTGCCCAGACAGCACCCTGGGCCCCGCGTCTGGGTGTGGGAAGGGGTGGGTGGCTGGCAGATCACCCACTTCAGGCCACCCTGTTTGCTCTCTCCTGCTTTTTGCTCTTGGGGACCCTTCCTTTGGAGGATGAGAACTCACAGCTTCCAGGAAGTCATCCCGAAGCCACTAGCTAG